AATCCTCTCCACCCTTTGGACCATTTCTAACAGTGCCACTGCACTTTCTTTTTGAGGTTTTTAGCAAGGAAAAAAGCTATTTTCAGACTGGTTTCAAGGAAGCCAACATATGAAGGGAGATTAAGACTAAAAACTTGTGAAAGGGCACCTTTCTCCTATTCCACTTTGCTACTCCTTTCTTTTCTCATACTTGCACATTTACCTAAGAGAAGGTAAGAAGACCTAAGAGTCCTTCAAGCAGCTTTCAGGTTACTCTACATATATATTCACATTAAAATAATGTGATTTTTTCCATCTATACTTTCCAGTTTATTTCAATGAAAGCCTGACTGAAGAGATTCTTATTTTAGAAAAGACAGGCTGTTTCCATAAAACACGAAATAATACACTTCTAAATTCTGTTGTGAAATAAAATGGTTCATGTAACAGCTTTCACTAAACTAAAAGGGTGTGAATTAAAACAGGTTTCATTATGCTTGTGAAAATTAATCTCTCTGAGCCCCAAATGAAAGCACAGTTTGCTTTCTTCATGCGTCTCTCAAGTACTAATTTCAATAGCCAAGACACAGATGGCAGCAAATGGTGTTTTCTAAGGGACCACTCATTGCATTTTTTTCCTTGGTAAGGCAAACTGGAAATTGATGCATTTGTCTGCAATTCAAGCCACGAATCATCTCAGTTACCAGCAGATAGGTGGAAGAAACTGAAACACAAACAGTACAAAAAACTACTGAGGGTGCAATGCTTAAACACAACTCAACTGACAAAACCTCCCTTGAGCTCAGCTCATGACCCCTTCCTTCAAATCATGCAGTCTGTGTGTATCTACCTGTAGCAGTACCTGTCTATCTCAGTGTAGAAGTCAATCTCCACAGTCTCTTGTGCACAGTCTCTGATGCAATTAAGACCTGACTTCGAAGAGGCAAATGTGGGAGGAAAGGAAGGGCTGAACATCTGTTTTAAGGAGCAATAGGCAAGTAGGGAGAAGCTGAATCAAACAGTAAGTCTGGGGCTGGCATTAAAAGAGTGGTGCCATTCAGGGACCATCACACAGTGTGAGAGACACACAGTGGCAAAACAAAGTGTTTTGCCTCATAGGCAAAACAAAGCTACAGGCAAAGCCCTGAACACCAAAGGTATTTAAAACCTTAAAGAGGATGTACATAGTGAGATCTTACTAATTTAGTAGCAAGAGTTTACATTAGCTAAATGGTTTCCAGGATTAGATCTCATTGGTGTAAATCAGGGTTTAAAAGCCTGGAGTTACCTTCTAAAATGGAGTGCCATTCCTCCTGAGGGCTGAGACCAAGCCAGCTGGAGATAGGATGCTCTGTGCTACCACCTGCAGTCCACTTGCCTTCACAGGGACAGTCCTGCCATTCACCCTCTCAAGGGAACTGGTGTGAACCTGTCCCCTGTTGCACATGTAGATCTTAGGAAAGAAGCAACACCTTCCCAAATAAAGGGAGACACAAACAGGGTGAATGGTCGTGGGAAGAATGCCTGGATCCAACAGCAAATTGGCTGCATTTATACCAGATGCTTTGCTTTCAGGATGGATGTTGGTGGGGTTTGCTGTCTGTCTTCGTGCTTGCCTAATGTGGAAAATCACATCTTTAGAATATGAAGCATCATTTTGGTAGAGAAGTGTTTTTGTCAGAACTCTGTGGTCAGTCTCAGAATAAGATGTTCTGTTTTGCAAAGGTTTATTTGTTTTACACACACACACACACTTGCCTGGGTCTATTAAATTCAGAACTCCTACAACGGTATTCCCTTTCTTTGTTTGACCCTTTGCAGCTGCAGAACAGCGTGATATTCATAAGAAAATAATGGGAAAAAAAAACCCTTGATTTGGTTTTCAAACTTTAACCCGCTAAAATTGTTCCCTGTTGGATATATTTTTTCATCATTGGAATCCAAACTCTTCAGGACTTACATATGCCATGTTTCACACAAGGGAAGCTCAGGACCTTACAGAATTTGGACCTTTATACACAGCTTTTCATTATTGTTTGCAGATGAGGTATAGTCTTTAAAACAGAAAGTAAAAATGTAATTGGGACCAGGCTGTTTCCAACTGTACAGCTGCTCACCTGTGACCAAAGCACTAAGCTTGGCTAACCCCTGTGAAAACAGGATTATGAAATGCAAAAACCTACCGACTATCTTTGAAATCTGCATACAAGAACTGCTCCAGATAAGGATCATACCATCTCTCTTGATATGGGTTTATACAAATGTATTGAGAAAGATTACTCTAGAATTTAAAAAATACCCAACTTTACGCTGGTAGCATCTTTTAACTCAAATACTGTGGCAGCAGCTCTCTGGCCACAGAGAGCAACAAATGACTTTCCCAGGCATTTTCCTGGGGAAGGCTGTGAGAAGATCAGAGAAAAGAATGAGAAACAATTCTTATCTCCACTTGCTGCACCTGTTGTTTTGCACATGTGAAATGTGTTATGAAGATTGTTTACCAAAGGGTGATTTCTTAATTGGACACTGGATGGTGTTTGGATTGATTGACCAATTAGATCAAAATTGGACTGTTGGTAAGGGTTACGAGTTTCTTAATAAGTATAGTATAGTATAAGATGATATAGTATGATATAGTATAATGAAGTGATTGATCAGCCTTCTGGAATCATGGAGTCAATGATTATCCAGCTGGGGGCCTGCGGCAACAAAATACAAATAGTACCACTGAAATGCAGGTGTTACATAAAGAATGAAGGAGAAACATTTGGGCATTCCAAAACCATGACCTGTGTAAAAAAGCACTTTGTTAAAAGTCCTGGTCAAGCCCTTACGTTTCTTCTTACCTCAACTTCCATACATAGAAGTATACTAAGAGAATTTTTTATGATGGTAAATGTAACACTGTTCCTTAGATTATTTCTTAGGTGCTTAGATTCCACAGTTAGTAGGTGTCTTCTAAGTATCGACAGCTCTGCTAAGCAAATCAGAGATTTCACCTGAAAGCTGTTTCCAGCTCTGCCCCATTCTGGATGTCATTGCACTTCATGGAACTGATGGCATGTCTGTGTACCAAGTACCTCAGCTGATGCATTCTCTCCCCTCCACACTCAGCAAATCCAACTTCTCCTACAATCACTGAGTGAACACACTGCATTTTTTGCCATCCTCACTAAGGATGGACAACACAACAAGTAGTTATGCATAGAGATAATGTGTCAAGTCCCAGACAGAAAGATACAGAAAGTAGTCGCCTGAGGTTACAGAAGTACAGTCCCATACCCCACCCAGATGGGCTTCCCACTGCCTTCAGTGAGCTTAACACTGAGGAATGGTGGTTTCACCTAAATGGCAGAGGTCACAGCTCTCTACTTAATCAAAAGAAGCCATTATGAATGATCATTCAATTGAAGTAAAAATTCTTCCAAAATAACTAGTTTTAAAACTGCATTTGCATTCCCAAAGAAGAAATTTAGTTTTCTACCACTTTAGGCTTTTCTTATTAAAAAACCTTGATTTCACATCCTAGAACCCTAAGGTTTTTCTACTAGGAAATCAGTCTCATTTCATTAGTTCTTGATTATATCTACTCTTTCCAACTCCAAGCAAAAGTAATGTATTATCAGTTAACAGATATTCTTAAAGTCTTTTGTGTGTGTGTTATTCTATTAGGAATGGAACTAGCACAGTTAAAAATGTCTAGCACAATCGATTTATCTGTGCCTCTCTGGTGAAAAACGTCCTCTGTAGCTTCCTGAGCCACAGGAACACTGTCCTTCACTCTAGTAAAGCTCTGAAAATAAATCTCCAGTGGGTAATTCTGCTTTGCAAAAATCACAGTAACATCAAGAAGTCTCCCCATACAAAAAGATTATTGCCTAGTTCCCTAACTTCAAGATTGCATAAATCTTTCACATATCAAGACAAGTGCTGGCCATCTTTTTATTCCTTTTCAGCTGAGGAGTAACAGAAATCTGAGCAGCTAAGTTAAAATTTTAGAAGTCCTCAAGCCACAGAGAATCAAAAACTTGTGCCATGTGATGTCATCCTTTTGACAGACCAACTAAGGATGATGCTACTGAACACTGTCAATACTGTCCTTTGTTTGTGGGTTTTTTCATAGAAATATGTGCAATGTTTACCAGTTTTGTACTTTGGAAGGGGTTTAAAATAGCAAACAAAGTTCTGAAGTCCTCAAATACATGTTCTAAAGGACCAGGCCTGAATTTTTGTCCCTTAAGTGTGACTCACAGGGAATCAACTGTATCTCTTAGTTTCGTGTTGAGTGAAGATGATCAGAGCCGACTTCTGGCAACTTCAGATGACTACAACACATTAAATCTGAGAGCCCTGAAACAATCTATCTGACAAGGAACAATAAAAGAGTTTTTCTAGCTGCTGAGGCACTCTAAGTGAAAGATCTGAAGGATACCTGTGCTTGATAACGGTGTGCTTGGAACTCAACTACTCTAACAGAACCAGCCCTTCAGTCTGCAGGAAAAAACCTTCCCCAACAGCCAAACACACCTCTCCAGAATCCATGTGGGATCCAAGACGGAAAGCCTGACTAAGGCGAGAAGTTTGAGATCGTTTTCCCTGAGGCCTGGACGCCTTGTTCGGGGACGTCCCTCGGCGATGTCGGCGCGATGCTGAAGGGGACCAAGCGGCCCTGACGCTGCGCCCGGCCCCGCTGCCCGCCCGGCGCGGCCGGAACGCTCTCGCTGCGAAGCCGCCGCTATGCTCGGGATGGAGAGCCCCGGAGGGAAAGCGATCCCCCTGCGTCCCGACCCGCCGGCAAGGGACAGGCAGAGACCCCCTCCCAAAGGGATGCTCTATCCAAAGCGGGGGCTCTCCTGCCTTCCCCGAACTTCAGCCCGCCGCCCCGGCTTGAAGCACTGCCCTCGGGGACCGCGCACACGGGAGGATGCTCAGCCGGTCCCGCTGCAGCAGTCCCGGGGCGGTAGCGGCGAGCCCCACCGCACGCTGCCGGGACGCCCCCGGCCAGTCCGCCAGCCACTTACCCCAGAGCAGCAGGACGGGGAGCTGCCGCCGGCGGCTGCCCGGCGCCTCCATCCCGGCGCGGGCGGCAGCGGCGGCGAGCGGCCGCGGGGGACGGAGCCCGCATGGGGCGGCCGGTCCGCAGCCGCAGAGGGCCCGAACCCGCCTCAGCCCGCCCGCCGGGGTGGTTCCTCCTCTTCATGCCTCGGCGTCCAGCCCCGGGCGGCGGCGGCAGCGGGGGCGGGCGCGCAGGGGAGCAGTTCCCCCGCCCCCGGGTGCTCCCAGCGCCGGCGGGGCGGACCCGGCGGCCGGGCCGGGCGGAGGTTGGAACAGGCACAGGCACAGGCACAGGCACAGGCATAGGCATGTGTGAGTGTGCTCTGTGTGCGGCCACAGAAGCGCGGCCGTGCCTCCCGCTCCTCCAACTGCAATGGCAGGAGCGATGCCGCTCCCAACCCATCGGTCTGTGTGGCTGCCATGGGGAAAGGCACCTACCCCGCGGGGAAGGTTCTGGTCGTAAGTGTCCGAGGGATTCAGGGACTCTTCACCACTTGCCCTGGGAGCAGCTTCTCTCCTCACAACATCCTGGCGGTGGGGGTGAAGGCATGAAGAGATGGAGGGCTACCTCTGTTAGTCCACCTGCAACCCTTGCATGGCACCGACATGTTGGCATGCTCAATATTTACAGCTGAACATGGGCAGAGAGCTGGCCTGACCCCACACAGACCCAGAGCAGCCTGGAGTTCTAAGATGCTACGTGTATTTTCATGTTGCAATTTCATCTTTGCCTGTCTCTTTTCAGAGATGGTACAGCTCCTGATTTTCATCAATATTTAAAGGCTAGGAAATTAGCATCTCCATCAAGAAACACCAGATTGGGAAGCTGCTAAACGCAACTTTTCTTACCTAAAAATAGTAGTATTGCTCAGTAACAAAGACCAGACTGTTCCTCTGGGTACGTGGACACTCCACCTCAATAATGGCCTTTCAGTAGAACATTAAATCACTGCCATTATTAAAGGTCAAATGTACCATAAAATTTCAAATTTCAAAAGAGATTTTCAAGCCACACACAAGAACAAAGGGTACTTTTAGGTATCAGGTTGTTAACATTGACTTTGTATGCTTGCCTAGCACAGTGCTTCAAACACTTTCGGAGAGTGGGACCCCAACACAAGAGCAGAATTATGCAACATATGCCTTTGTAACCACTGTTTTCAGTACACAAGCTTTGATTTATGCTGAAGGAAATGGAAAACTTTAGAAACCACAGAGAAGGCTGGGAATCCAATGTTGAAACAGCTCTGCAGACATTTAAGTGTGTCACTTAGAATGAACCTCCTATCACTTGTGTGCCACTTCTTCCACTTGGCTGGAAGCAAATCTTGTAAAATACCATAAACCATAAATAAACCATAGCTCAGGGAGATCATCCTTCAGCAGAGGGGCTGCCATTTCTGCTTTGTAAGGAGTGTTTGCAGGCTGCCCCTGCCAGAAGGAGCTGCAGAGAAGTGACACGCGTGAAGGCACATACACCACAGACTTGTTATACCATCTATAGCATGCTTTCTAACAGTAAATCTTGATTTTTATCACAAATTCCGTTTCTTGCAAATCTGAAAATACTGTGTTTTCAATAATTTAGACTGATTTCCAGGTTAAGCATAATGCTTTATATGCAATATTATGTTTAAGGTGTTTAAAACATGCAGTATATTATACAGTATAAAGGCAATATTTTTTGTAACACACATGGAGATAATGCTGACAGCTCTTTTTACATCAATTGCATTTGTTTTCTTTGCCTGTTTCAGATGAAAAACTGGAAAAGTGAATGTTACTTCTTCCAACTGTCAAGATTCAGCAAGCACTTCCCATTTTGTGCTTGCAGCACATAGTTTGAAGGTGCAAACAGTATCTCTGAGGTAGAACAAATCGATAGAATTTATAGGTAAAGGCACTAATGCAGCATGTTTCATAGGATCACAAGCCAGCTATGCTAGGTGATATCTTTAGCAATATGGTCTAAAATGAGTAAGTCTGATTCACATTTGAACAAAACTGTGACAGTGTTGGAAGGGTCGGCAAGATGGTTCAAAAAACTTCAGCAGTTTGCAGTTTTTCAGTAAGACTGCCCACTCCCCTCAACTCCCATTGTATTGCAGTAATGCAAACAGATTCACTCCTGAATTACTGCAAATAGCCTTTTCTGTTCTGCAAATCTGCCTAGGTAGCATCATGTACCTACAACAGGAGAAGAAATCCAATTCACCTTCAAATAGAAATACTATAAATGCTCTTTGCTGTACAGAGCTCTGAATCCCATCCCTGACACAGAAACTAGCAGTGACCTCAGAACCATAGTCTGTTTTCATTTCCAGACATACAACCTCCAGAGATCACACTGACACCTTCTTAGGTACCCTGAAGACAGTACTGCAATCATATTATTTCAGGTATTTTCTAGAATGCTTAAATCTGCTAAGATACTGAGTAAAAGAAAATATAGCAACAGACATGTAGGTAGTTGTTTCAGCAAGTTCCTGAGGAGTCCCTGGTGACAAGAGATGAAAGAAGTCAAGCTGCCCAGGACAGATATTATTGCCAGCATTACAGGGTTCAGAATGGTGCAGGATAAGGTAATAAACTTTCTTGCTCCAGAGTTTAACTGATTCAACAGAAACTGAAAAAAATTATAAAATAAATTAAGAAAAAGCTGAAGACATGACACTATGGAAAACAACATTGCATTTCCTTCTCACCTCACAAATTGGCCCAGAGACGTTGCTTGCCCATATGGAGGGACTTTGCCCAGTGTCAGATTAAATCTTTCTTCACCTCTTCCTACCACAGCAATTTTGTATAAAAGACACATTAAGATTTCAAGACCACATTTTAATGGGATTGCTTGCTGGACTGAGGTTTGAAAAAGTAGGTTCAGTTCACCTGTAGTTTTAAACTAAAGTAGATCATCCTTCCTATTTAGTGCTACTAGAAGCATGCCATTCCTGCTCCAAAAATTTAAAAAAAAAAAAAAAGATCTGCAGGTTATTAAAATAATTCCTCTTTTTGCCATCAATATAGGAATGTAAAAACATCATAAAACACACCTCCCGGTTAAAAAAACCACTTCTTCTTGAGACTTAAAGGCCCCACGGTGGTATACTGACTGCACATAATACCCAAATTTAGTTTACATCAGTCAGATCTGATGAGCTGAAACTCTTTATGCCTATATTACCTGAACCGAAGGAGGAGAAAAAAATAATAATTTTTTTATGTAGAGATCTGAGACTTTTTTACATAAGAGCAGTCATAGAATACAGAAGCACACAAATATTTTGCCAGCCTTCTAAAGCTTAAATTTTAAGCCATGTATGGATGTGCTCTGTGATTTCAGCAGGGTTTCTATGTTCAGAGCAAAGCTTCTAGGGAGTGTTCACATATTCCAGACTGCACTCTATTTCAAAAGTGCTGAGCTGTGAGTATTTAGCACCTCTCAGACCTCTAAGTACCTCTTATTTTATATACCTGGCTCTGACATGACAGCCTTCCCACGGCACAGCATGTGGGCTTTGTTTGAAGGAAGTGGAATATGCAATTACTTTGTTTCCATACTAGTTTCTAGTACAGTAAATTGTGTTGATTAAAAAAAAAAAAAAAAAAAAAAAAAAAAAAAACACAAAAAAACCTAGAAAACAAGGTATTTCTGTACCCTATGCCATCAACACCAACAACTACCAAATAAAAATTTAAAATTCCACAAGTGTCATGATGCAGGTCAAGGGAAAGCAGACAGGTTTACGGAATGATGGCAAATGTCTCTTCTCTCTCTCTGGAGAGAAGCTCCTCAGTCAAGGGTCCTCCACCGAGGCACGCCTTATTTTACAGCCAGCAGTGCAAAACTCTCTCATCAAAGGACTCGAGAGCAAATATGTAGGAACTGGGATGTCTTGCTCATTCCTGTCTGTTGTTCTTTTACCAAAAAGAGTATCCCAAGACCACTGGTGACTGTATGTCATGCACATTGTAATTGTCTCTTCCTGTTGTACAGAGTTATTGTTTTTCAACACCAGCCAGAAGCTTTGTTATAACAGAAAATCTTTGTACTTTGGTTCAGGAATGGGAAACAAATCATGCCTTCTTCTTAATGTAAATGTAAGCATAACAAAAGGCACACAATGCTCTATTCCTTCTAGACTAAGTAAAGCCAAAACTAATTTTAAAGGTTTTAAACTTTTAAAACTGTCAGTTGTGTTCTAGAGGCCCAGACTTTCTATTTCTAATTAGAAATTAATTTTGTTTTTCGTGACAGGCTCACTGAGCAGTTTGGAAAATGCTGGGAAAGAATATATATATACCATGTCTCCCATACATGGTTGTGTCTGAGAAATAACTCATTGTGGAAAATCAAGGAGAAAGATAGAAGAAGCAAAGTGGAAGAAACTGTTGGGTTGGGTTTTCTTTTCCTTTTAGAAATAATAACACTGTTAATTTTTGCCGCTTTGCTTCCCCAGCTAGCTGATGTTGAGAGTGAGGGGCGGCACATACAAAATCTTACAGAGATGAAAACTGAGATATATCTGAAGGAACATTCAAGAGTCATTTTAATACCATCAGAACTCAGCTGACTCCACAGAGATTGGTGAGACAGCAACATACACCTACTGCAAGAGAAAGCAGCAAAGCCTATTCGAGTTCAGTCTGAGCACAGGATTTCTGATTCCACATGTGGGCTCTGATCAGTGCAGTTCTGAACCAGCAACCCCTTATATGAAAACAGACTAATTGTACTTCCTAGGTGCATGAATGACTGGCTTTAGGGCTGAGCAAGACAGATCCTAGAACACTTCTTAAATGAGAAATTCCATAAATCTCTATTACATGGAAAAGTGCAGCTCTATATAAAATGGAAGATATTACTATAGTAAATAGAATGTTATTTGATGGCACAAAATGAGTGCAATACATAACATTTCTAATTATCCAGTCCTAACCCTTAGTATAATTGTGCTTCTAAAGTAAAATAGAAAATAAAAAAAATAAATCATAACATGTTTTCATTAAGGCTGAGTTCAACATGCTATTGCATTCACACATATTTATATAATAATAAATCATCCTACTTTAATCTTGACGTCTTTACAGCCCCAAGGCAACCCCAGTTCATGCACAGAACACTCACACCTCTTTCACTGACACATCTCACAACATTTGCTACAAATTGCATAAAATGTGAAAGCAGACACAAATATCACCTCACACTGTTCTACTTGACCAATTTCCCTCGGAGTGCCGTGGTGCAGACCCCCAGCTTCCATTACTTGAGGAGAAGACCTAGAGAGCTTCCCCTTCATCATGCATTCACTTTATTAGTACTACTTCCCTTACTCCTGACTTGGAAGAAATGCACAATAAATACTTTCACTTGTTAATGAGAAATTTGGAGAAAGTTTGTTGGCAGTGTGCCTGAAGAACATCACTGATTGTCACTGTCACTTAAAAAGGGGAAGCGAGGAAAGAAAGGTGGTATTTCAGAGACACCAGTTTTTCCATCTCTTTCATTATTTGTCCAGGATTGCAAATGTATCCATTCACAAGGGTTCTTTCACTCTTTGACCACATACTTTCAAGTCTTGGGATTACCTTCAAATGATCTCGGTAAAGGAGACTGCTTATTTCCCCCACATAGGAATGAAACTGCTGTTTGCATTTACAAGTGCATCAATTAAAGGTTTAATTGTGTTTATTGCACTTGCAGAAATGAGAGCATCTGCTCAGGTTCTGCTGACCTCAAATGACAGAGTATCTCAGCATGACAAGTGACCATAGCTCTCATTTGCAAAAATGATGTTTCTCAAACATCTGGGGCAGCACAAAAATAAGAACAGGACACAGGTGGGAACAGTGGGTTACAGAGCTATCCTGGTAGCACTCACTAGATTTGCCCTATATCAAACAGCAGTGTAGTGCTGGGACTGGTGTGCTCAATCTCTGATTCATAGACAACCAAAATAAATGTTAAGGAAATACCTATTATTAAGAAAAGTGTGTATTTATGCATTAGTTAACGTGAAATAATATCAATTCTCAAACGAAAGTAAAAGTGATAAAAGAAAGGAAATATCTTTTCAAATGTCTACTTTTTATGAAAGGCTTTGTTCATCAAAAATTTCACTTTACAGAATATGTAGCCCTTCATATTTAATTGAATTGCTGTGAACATCTTTCACTATTTTTGACTCTAATAGTAGAATGATCTGCATTTTATGGAAGTATCAGTTAAATCTTACTCAGGATCTCTTCTTATCATCACTTTTTTTTGCTTTAAATTTAGAAAAGATTTTTTTGAAAGTGAGATAACAGTAGTTCCCGTAACAAATTTACTAGATAGTAAATTTTTCCATGTAAGGGAAGTGAAAAATAATGTAGATGAACAGAAGTGCTTTAAATAATCTAGATTAATTGACACAGGCAGCTATTTTGTTGGTAGACACAGATATAAACTATTCCAAAGATGAGCTATCTTTATCATTGTCTCCAGAGCTTTCTAAATCAGACGAAGGACATGAGTATGCGGATGACAGGCACACCAGGTAGTGTACCACTGGCCCACATGCACAGGTGCCATTTCCAACTACTATATCAACCACTGAGTTGCAACTCAATGCTTGATCTTAGCAGGCATATTACAATGCTGCACTAGAGGAAATGACGCCTATCAGAAAATATGAAATCTACCCCAGCCCAAAAGTCAGACCAAGATTTCAAGTTCTCAGTAAAGTCAGTGCTGAACACATCGAAGGTAGGGGTTTTTTTGCACTGCCATCGCAAGAGTGTTATTTGCCTTAATTATACACTAGAGCTTCAAATAAATGTGAGATTCAAAACCAACTCCAAACAGAATAACCCAGAACAATAATAATAATAATAATATTACATAATTATAATTCCCCAAAAGTGCCTGAAGTGCATGTTGGGGGGGAAAAAGAATCCTAAATATTTAACTAAAAACAAAAACCTGTTCACACTGTAAATTAGGCAACTACTTTTAAAAGACAATACCTATGTCGCAACTCTTCATCTATCAGAACCATCACTGTTAACTTTTTGTCTACTCTTCAGAACATTGCTATTCTAATTCTGAATAAAGTAAAGGTCTGTGACTGAGCTTGTGATAAAAGCTGGGTTCATAATTTGAGACAGAAAGTTCATTTCTTAAAGGAATAAATTTTCTTTGACAGATTCCTTGTCATATTTCTTCCTTTCTGGAAGAAATAAATAAAAGGATCTGTCCTGATTTCAGCTGGGATAGAGTTAGTTTTTTCTTAGCCAGCACAGTGTGATGTTTTGAACTCAGCGTGAGACTGATGTTGATAACACACCGATGGCTCAGCTGTTGCTCAGCAGTGCTTACCCTGAGCCAGGGGATTTTCAGGTTCCTGTGCTCTGCCAGTGAGGAGCTGCACAAGCACCTGGGAGGAAGCATGGCCAGGACAGCTGACCTGAACTGGCCAAATGGGTATTCCAGACCACAGGGCACCGTGTCCAGTATATAAACCTGGGAGAGCTGGCTGGGAGGAGCAGATCACTGCTGGCAGATGGGCTGGGAATCAGTCAGTGGGTGGTGAGCAATAGTGCTGTGCATCACTTGTTTCTATTGGGTTTTATTGCTCCTTGTCTCTCTTTTCAATTACAATTGTCAGTTGAAGTAGTAGCATATTTTATTTTGTTTGAGCTATTAAACTGTTCTCATCTCAATCCAGGAGCTTTGTCTCTTCTTTCCAATTCTCTTTCCACTGGGGTGAGGGTAGCAAGGTGGCAGCTACATGGCTCTTGCTGGCTGGGATTAAACCCCAACAGACATTTTCGGTAGTACCCGGAGGATTGAGATAACAATAGATCTGATCAGAGCTTGTTGAAAGAAATTACTTTAAGGAACCATTGAATTGGTTTAATCATTGCTGGTCACCATGTTTTTTCATTTGTTCCCTGCATGTGTGCTCACAGGCACATTATAGAACACTGTTCTTGATGCACATGTTCCCTGTGGTGATGCTGATCGTCGATGGGGTCTAGGCTAAAGTTACAACTCTGTTGCTCTTTGCAGGAGTGGTTTATGACATGATGGAATCGCTGGTCATGAACCAAATCCTGTCTGTGTGCTTGGCCCTGCGTCACCTCTGAGCCTCGGGAGCCATCTGGTGGAAACTATTAACAATCACACTTTTAGCTGCTGCTCGTAGCGTCAAAAGGACCTTAATTTCCTGAACATTTCTTTAATTTATCCGTTTTGCTGAGCATGAATATGACAGTTTGCGAGATGAGCTCAGAAATCCCAAGTGGGAGAATTTTCTTCAGGTAAATACTCACAGGGATTTACATTAAATCCGTATGTGTAATTGATGGGCAGGGATGTTTTCTGAAATAATAACACAGAGATTTACTTTTCTCAAATTTTTTTTCTGGAACATAAAAAATGTTAATTGATTGATAGTAGAGCTTCTATTAAACTCCAAAGATGCTGATCGTAAGAAACTATGGAATAATGTGCTGTTCAAACAGTAAGTGAGAAGAATTAAGCAGGAAAGCATTAATATTCTCTAGACATCATATTAATGAATTTCCTTAATCAAAGGAATCCTTTGAAGAGAATTTTCTTCACCAGATAAGAGAAAGTAATTATCGGCAGGGAGAGGATGTGGGTCACAGCAGAAAGGATGCCATGCTGTACTAGGGAGAGACACGCCCTGGTAGCAGACTGAACTGCCATTCCAGCAGTCTCCTGCAAAGAAACAGCAGAATTAATCATATACAGTGATTAAACAATTACTTATAAAACCATCTCTTTTAATAATACAGGTAACAACAGGACAGATATGATGTAAAAGTGGCAATTTCAGATTCCAAAATGCCACTCACAAATTTAAGCTCATCTTTAAGCTCACAAATCAGTGTTGATCATTTTCATGCCTTCCTCTCCCCTTGCCTGAGGTATGACTGTCCATGCAGCTAGAGTTCTCATTCTGTCACATCCTCTATTAACTCAATTCACAATAAATACTTTTGCCATCAATGCCAGGCACCCCCACCATCTCATTACATTAAGAAAATCCTACAGTTGTTTTTTTTTCAAATTTCTTGTCTTCACTTAAAAGATCCTTCAAAGCCCTCCCCGACTCTGCCTTTTGCTGACACTTTTGTACACTTACATTTGTACACTAGAATTCCTAATTCCCAGACAAAAGGATATGGAGGGAAATCAAGGCTTTCCTGACTGTAAGAGCCAAAAGAACCCACAACCTCAGAGGTCACTGCAGCTTTGGTCAGGTGTGGTACCATGATGTACCCAAGCTGCCAGCTGAGGTCTCCTCAGCTCCTCTGCTCTATTCTGCTGCTCCCATCCAGGAAAGGCCATGCAGGAGATGTGTCCCAAGAGGCAGCATGTTAACTGGCCCCCTCTCTACAATTAAGAAAGCAGCTGGGTCCAGCCAAATTTTTCAAAAGAAGTTCTGCCCTCAGCCAAGGAGTGGTGCTGCTCCATGCTTCTGTGCAGGTGTTCAGAGATGCCCCAGAAATAGGAGGATCAAGTAGGGCGCTTCAAGGTAGGTGATTTTTCTAATACAGTCAAAGCACAGCAAGGAAGATGGGGCATTTTATTCTTCAGAGGGTTTCCTGATGATTCCCATGTGTGTTGGAAATAAACACTGTTTGAGGAACTTTTCATTGGATGTGCAGGGTGCCTGTAGCTCTGGGAAGGCAAAAGATAACACTGGTTTATATTTTCTTCCAAATCTATCAGGCCAGCTAAACATGCAGCCACTCCCTTGCCTGGTTTCATCAAAACGGACTTAGCATAAATAGTTCAATCTAATGGAGACAGCAGAAGGAGAGGTTAACCTGGATTGTTGTCAAAGAAACAGGCTCAAGGACAAGTACGTGTGCTTTTATATTGGGAGCTCCATTGGACTGAATCACAGGCTCAAATGAAACCAATTTGATGGTAACTGAAATACAAAGATAGAGAAAATAAACTCAACACTTAAAGAATCTGGAAAGAATATGTAATTCTCAAAGTATTAAAAAGGTAACTGAAAGTAACTGAAATATATATATTTAAATTTTTCCATTAAATTAGTATTTCTGAACATAAATAGCATCAAGGTAAGTTGTAGTGTAATAAAATCAGATCAAAGCATATGGTTGAGCAACCTCTGCTGTATTATATTCTACATGGTAGTCCTTCCAGGTAAGACCATTAACTGACTTAAAATCATCTGACTCATTGAACTTAGTGGCTTGGAATAAATGTCCATCACCTTCCTGAACTACAATGCTAAAACCTCATGCATTATTCCAGCCACATTTCTTATCTTTACATGCAACAGTTACACACTGAATATACAAACTTTCAGCTTTCTCTCTACTGTGCAAACATTAAAAAAAAAAAAAAAAAAAAAAAAAAAAAAAAAAAAAAAAAAAAAAAGTAAATAGATTTAGCCCAGAAACAATGTAAGGAAATACTTACAAGTAAAATCTTGAATTACCCTAGAGCACAACATCACAATTGAGGAAGTGGCCAAGCCTCACTGCATATTCCTTTAAAATCTCTGTAGAATGCAGTGGACTTAAATGTTTAAAGAACTTCAAGCAGCAGTCACACTATCATGAAGCAAATCAGTGTGCTTCAGTGTATATGTTGCACTGGTGAACAGCTGCCCCTATATACACCATACCAAAATATTAAACTCCTGCAGAAAACAGCTCCAAAAGCACTTTGAAATACACAAAGTATTCCAAGTGGAAATAGGACCTTATGTTGGTTTATGATAGAGAATGAGAACTTAAAAGAATGAGTGAGGACTGATACTGACCACACACAAAAGAAGAAGTATGTGGTGCCAGGAGGCATTTTCCAAAGTAGTTCATGCATCAATGACAAGCACACATTTTGCCTTCCAAAATGTCCTCTGCCACTGTGTATTTTGGCCAGTGATGCATGAAAAGCTCTCTAGTGCTTACCCTGCACTTGAATTGGACACAGGGAGAGCTGGGAAGCAGCAGCAGTGAACTGTGCAGCAAGTTGGGAGTCCTTGCAGCCACTGGCTCTTTTGCACAAGGAAGAACCTCTGGGGAAATGCAGCCAAGGGAATAGCAGGGCTCACTTGCATTCCAAGCTTGCAATGGGCAAGAGAGCCAAAATATCAAACCACTGCAAAAAAAAACAAAAAGAAACAAACAAACAACAAAAAAATTAAATAAATACAACTTTTATTGAGCATTAATGAAGCTTATAGTCCTGCTTCATTAAGAGCATGTTAGCTGGTGCTCAAAATAAAAAGTAAAATAATGAGAAGCATAGCCAAGGTTGTCTTTCAGTCTGTAAAACCTTCTACAGCAAACAAATAAAACTCTAACAAGTAAAACTAATGTTGTATGGTGGATCTGAGACTAAGAGAAACCTTCAGCCCAGTGAAGAAAAGCATGGAAACGGAAAAAGCAGCAGTTCAGTGCATGATTTCCCACAGTTCACAGCAGAGGCAATAGGAAGAAAAAAATCACTTCTGACTGAAAGATTGAGAAGGAAGAAAACATATTACCTCTATCTTCATTATGAATTCCCAGAACAGATATGTGTTTTAGATGTTTGAATATTCTCAGTTCTGGAATTTAAAATACTTTAAAGTTGAGAACAAGGTGGAGTGTTGATTGTCTTCCACAGAGAGAAATAATTTTTTTTTTTTTTTTTTCTGGACAGACTGGTTGTGTTCCCCTTAAAATCCTGTGATCCTATGGTGCATAAAGTCTTCACATTCTACTTGAGATTAAAGCTATCTTTAGGATTATTTTGTAAATCTTTATTGGGTAAAATTAACCAATATAAATGCAGCTGTACCTTAGACAGCAAACTATCTTTAACCTTAGTACCTGGAAGAATGATAGAGAAGGTCATGCTGTGTGCTATTCAAAGACTTTTAAAAATAATGCAATCATCAGTCACAGCCACCATGTTTTCTTCAAAAGTAAAGCTTCTTTGTCTAGGTATAAGACGATTTTAAAAATCCCTACAAAATAATGATTACAGTTGCTGCTTTTAGGATTAACCAGAGGCAGCTTTGACTCTCTGGCCACACATTCACTGAAACAGGTGTTAAATTTACATCATAAATTATTATCCTAGACACAATAATTTTCACACAGGGTACATTTACTTGAAGGCAGTATGTGGAGCGTATTAGGTACAATGCTCCTTCCCTTGTTTCTTTGCAAGGTAGTTCATACAGTCCTGCTCTGTTGTTGACTGATGCATATTTTAAGGAGAGAAAGAGGAGCTTTGTAAGCAAAGTTCATGCTTGTTAAGAAGAATTGACCTGTAGTCCATAACTTTTGAGTTTAAGAATAGTAATTTAAAAGGTGTAGGATTATATTGGGAAGCTTGTTTCAGTTTCATATATGACAACTTTCCTGCAACAGTAGTGTTTATTTGCCTTTTTCTATTGGTAGGATTTTATGTTGTTGAGATAGCTGTCTCCAAGTACAGAGCTGCTGTGCTGCTTCTTCCACAGTAAGAATCTTACTATAATCTTTTTTCCTGTTGCTTTTTTCAACTGCTCTGTGTGTGGCCGAAACATAATGTGGCTTAAATTATGAAGAGATCAGATGTAGCAAAGGTCATTTATAAAGATTTTTTGCCTGTTTTTCAGCTTCATTAAGTTTGTCAAAGGAGAATATTTCTTTCCTATGTACTCAGTATTTCACTGAACTCAGGACAGTTACTGAATAGGGGAGTTTAGCAATTTCAGCAGCAGAAAGCTCTTCTTACCTTGCAAACGAGAAAGATTTGCAAGCAACTCCTGCTGAACAAAACATGTCCCAGCAAATGAAATTAAAATATGCTAATGAATAAAAAAGTACAATATGGTAAATAAAACATGGTACTGAATAAAGCATGGTGAATAAAATAAAAAATTAGCAGTCTCTATATTGGAACTAAAAATTCGGCCTTTAGCTTCTGTGTGATACTCATTATTGCATTTTGTGTTTAGAACATTTGTTTGAATATGGTGAGAATGGTTTTGATCTCATCCTGGTTTTGTTTTTCAGGGTTTTTCCTACATGCATCTCTTCTGTGTCTTTCACAAATAAACCTCAAGTGACTTTGAGTATTCTTCTTCAGACACTTAAAGGAACATCATGAGCATATAGATATGGTAGGAGGGAATTGAATTCAACTCCATTCACATCATTCATCTTCACTCCATTGACAGCTGTGTGGATTCAGTGTTGTGGTAACTCCTGTCCTGTCTCTGTCTGGGCAGACTTAACTGGAGTTTAGAAGACTGTCTCCCCTCTAGGTGGTATGTAGTTAAGGTTTTAGCTTTCTGGATAGACAGTACAAATGACCTTGGATCCACTCCAGTCTGAACCCAGTGAAGCTGACAATCGTCCCATAAGGAAGAAAAGGAAACACCAAACCGGACTCAGTCAGTATCTGTCTGTACTTGCAAAGTGTAAGATAATTTTATATGGCTAGGTCATCGTACAATTAATCCTTCTTCTCTGTTAGCTGCATTCCAGGTCCCACACACATGGAAGAAGGAAGAAAGAGCAGATCCAAACCAAAATCACACTGCTGGGGCAGAAGACAGGCTGAGAGGGGACAGAAATCCTTGTTGCAGTAAGTCAGGCAAAAACCAAAATGCTAAAACTTGACCTGTATTTAAAACCAATGATAACAACCATAACTAAGAAAGAAACTAAAGAGAAGAAGGTGGGATATCTGAGAGCTAAAGCTCTAAAATAGTCGTCACTTTGCACCAAAACAAAAGCTACATAATTCTGCTGGCCCAGAAGATAGCATATAGACATGAGACTGAAAATGGAAGAAAGGCAGGAGTTTGTGGGGTTCAGAAAAAGAAGGAAATAAAGGGGTGAACCGTGGCAAGAAGAAACCAGAAGGAGAGCTACATAGACAGCAGACTTTATAAGGCATCTAATAATTCTGAAATAAGAGCTGTCTATTTTGTGTGTACTGAAAAAGGCAAGGACCAACTATTATATCACAGCATGTTCCAAAATGGCCAGCCTTCACCTCCAGGTACAACCTGTTAGATTGGAGTGGGGAAGAATCACTACACTTTTACAGCTGTACTACAGTGTCCTTTCCCAGCAAAAGTATCACTACTCATCCCAAAGTGGTAGACATTTGGCATAGCAAAATTCAACTTAAATCTGACTGAGAAGTCATCAGTTGAGTCTGAGATGGAAAGAATGGTGAGGCTGGAGGGAAGAAAAGGCACAGTAGAGGCAAGGATAAAGCAGCATGTGGAATCCTGTCAAAGTACAAGCAAGGTCATACGGGACCCAATTCTGTCATTTACTATTCACAACTCCTTAGCTTAGCAACTTAGATTGCCTTTTTATTTTTCAAGTGCTCTGTAAACATAAACAGGTCATGACCATTCACTTTCAATTTTACCATCATATGTTTAATCAATAAAACATGTTAGAATGTGAGCTGACATCAAAAACTATAATTTACATGCATGCTGTGGAACCTCTAAGTTCTGCTTAATACTCGGACCATTAATTTTTGGTTTGTTTTGGGGTTTTTTAAAATAAATTAGGTTAAGAGTTGCTTGCATATTCCTACTGTAGATAAACAGAAAGCTTGACAAATCAGCACTACCTAAATGAAGAAAGTTTCTTCCTTACCCTCAGATGATGAGGCCCATAATTATTTCAAATAAACTGTCCTGGTTATCTTAATGATGATCCTCAATACTACAGTGACACCTCCAGCTCCTGCTACAAACATTCACTTTCAGTCATGTTTGATCAAGTTTTCATGAACTATTAAAGTATATTTATTACATATATTTTTATATTATTATATTTTTTTTTTTAATTACCTAGAAGCCAACCAAGTGTCTAGTTTTACAGATGAAAAGCTGAGTAGCACTTGTTTATCACTCAGGCCCCAATTATAGTACTTTCCTCATACGTGTGTCTTGTGGCCCTTACTGTCCTGACATCCAGTTGGCCCCTTTACCTATGCTCCAATGCTGCGTGCATGGAGCCTGGGATACTGTTTACTCTGTCATTCTAATACTTTCTTTGCACTAAAGTTAGACAAATAAATGTAATTTTTCCTGATACTGGTCGCAAGTCTGTAGAGAACATACAGTCCTGACAGAAAGCCAGCAGTGTTTTACACAGATGAACTTCTAGATACTCAGCAACCAGCCCAACCAGCCTTGTCCCTTTTCCACATTTTTTAAATTGGCATTGGAATAATTTTTTTTTTTTGCATGTCTTTTCAACACTAGTCTTTTTTTCAGTACTACCACAGTCCTAGACTTTCTTTAAAACAGCTGAAAGGAGCAGGGTACTGCACCAAGAAGCTGATTCCAGGAAGGGAATATCTTGAGGCACTGACCAGCTGACATAAGAGGCATGGCTGTGCAACACTGTCCTGGTCTGCCTTTCTAAAATACACATTGCAAGAACAACAGCAGAGTCCCCACAGACTGCTTAATATTGCTGGGTAAGTGGGATGAGATCCCCTGCTGTCAGCCAACCATTTGGTTTGCTGCCTCCTCAGTATGGAATTTTACTCCTCACCAAGGGCAGTGTATAAGACAGATCCTGTTTATTGCACTTGCCTCTGAGAAGAAAGAGGCACAGGTATATGGAGGCTGTTACACATTCTCCATTATTTGGAATATACTACATAAAACACAGATTGGTAAATTCAGGTCATGAGCAGAAAAAAAGAAAAAAAAAACAGTTTAGGGAGCCACACATGAGGATATGTGCACAATCTTTTGACCATCCTGCTGGACTTGGGAAAGGACTTCCGTGTTTTTCTGCAGGGCTACCAGACCAGCTGACAAATCTAAGGGAACCTGTATAAGAAATCAGCCAAGCTTAAACACCTATTTGCTTTACTGAGAAAAAGTGCATTTGTATAAAATAATGCACCATAAGTGTCCTCTCCTCTTTTGGGAGCAAGTAGTGCTTGTGTAAGGTGTATGCAATAGGTATAGCATAAGTTACAGTGCCTCAGGTGATTACAGGTTATTCAAATAATAGTAAATTCAGCTGAAAAACTAAAGAAAATTCACAACTGATGACTGAAGGTGTAGATCTAGAAAAGACTAATTTAAGTTCTGATTTGGCAGATAATCTCATCACTACAATTTTACAAATTTAACTCATTTTGTTAAATGATGAAGTGAACTTCTCTAAAGTCTCTTTGAAGGACTTGATCAAGTAAGCTCCCAGTTCATTGTTTGTCTCCTGAACAGCAGCATCATAACTCCCAAAGAGTGGCGTTGAAGCCTTCACATCCTCTCTATTTGCTTGGAGTAAAATGAGGTTAAGCTCCTCTGCTACCCTTTCATATTTTTGGTGATCAAATCTGCAAACACTGGCATCATCAATGGGGTAGGTGATCCCAATAGGGTAGCAATCCCTTGGAACTGGGAACTCCACATTTTTCAGCATTGGCAATTCACAGAAAAATGTGAAAAGATGTTTAAGTGCTTGGGATGACAGCGGGTTTCCAATAAACTTAAATTCCTCTAGTTTCTGACAAGGGCTTAAACCTAAAATCAACATATTGACATGAGTGTCTTGGATATTACAGTCCTCCAGGGTAAGACTCCTGAGCACTGAAGAGCAATGGCTGAGGAGTTTAAAGAATGTTGATGGGTAAAGCTCAGGTATATCATGACCACTCAGGTCCAGGGCTTCCAAGTGATTCGCATGGAAGCTATTGGCTAAAAAGGCCATATCAGCATGGTTCAAGGAGCAGTTAGAAACATCCAGCATCTTCAGTGGAGTTTTTAGTGGGCTGCAGAATTAAAGAGAAAAAAAGTTTTATGATACAAAATGTTGAAAAGCTACATTTACAAAATTTCATGCACCTAGCCACATTATGAATGCAGCCATCTACCACATTTTTTCTAACCTCTCTTGAAAACAGAACCATGTGCCAACAATAGCAAGTATATTTTCCTCCTGAAATTAGTTCCATTAATTATCTACTTCTATGCATGGCTCCACTGTGCTATCTTAATGGGGATTAATTTATTAACATTCTGTGTATCTATTTTTTAACCAGTTATATATTGTAAAGTCACTTGCTGACTTTAACAGCAGATCACTACTACCATAGGAGCATTGGTAGCTGTTTCTTGTAGAAAGCTGCAATTATTCCAGAGATTTAGATCATTTCCATTAAGGAAGGATTAATTCCAATATTAAATCAGTATTCTGAGAGGATATCTGCTTTTGTTTCTAGCTGGTTTTTTTCTGCTACATTTTTAATGCCAAGAGGTAGTTTTCCGGAGTTGCAAAGAGACACTCTGATGAAGAAGGTTGGAAGAAGTGTAACTGAGATTATACTCAGATATTCACATTACATATAAAATAGATCTGACAAATAAAAATCAAGATATTGCTTTCATACTTACTACATCTTAGTGAGATCTCTGCCACAGGGTTCAGCTGGATCAAGCTTAGAAACTTGCAATTCATTTCAATTGTATCAATCAATATATGCAGTGTGCTACTCACAAATTTTAAATAAAATAGCTTTTTGTATGGGAAGAATTTTAGACCAAGGTCATTTGTCTGGATGAAACTTTTATCTGCTTTTTTTTTTTTTTTTTAGATGCTCTGAAAAGCTTACAATTAACTTATTTCCTGTTCCAATATGAGTACTGCTTACTGGTTGTTTGCTACCTTTTTGCAAATTGCCAGTTTTCCACTGGAATTCATAATGAATATTCACATATCAGCTTAATTTGCAGTACAAAAAAAACATCAAATCTCCCTTGTCTTGGCACCAAGAGACATAACAAATAATTGAAATCAAAGTCTCAAATGAAAATCAACTATTCCCCTGCCCTCCTTAAAATACAGTATCTGTGGAAAAGCATATTTACTGACTGTTCTTTAGAGGACAAACACTAGATACTCCAAAAAATACTTGGAATACAACTCAGGACTTGCACCAAGGGCCAATGCAAGCTGATTAATACGTAAGTTCAAATAAAAAATATCTGGGTATACCTGTGGTAGCTAAAAGTATATTCTCACCTGATGGACTCTGGAAGACTAATCAAAATAGTCAGTTTTTCAAAGTGTATTAGGTATACATTGGCTGTTGATTCTCCCCAACACATAATCTTTCCTAGCTTCCTGCTGCATCTTCCCACATACACCCCAAGATACACTCACCTCCCTTACTCTCAGAGATTCCCAGCTTGCTGGTGGCACAAAGTGCTCTTTTTTACAGTGTGACTGAAAGCAGGATGACCAAATTACCTGAGAAGTTTCTGTATTCTTCCAGTGAGTATAGAAAATGACACACTCAGCTCAGTAAACTGTGTCATTTCACCCATCTTTTCGCCAATGTTAGTAAGCATCTGTTCATCTGTAGCTGTGAACCTCCGCACATTAAATGTTCGTGCTGGCAAGGTCAAGGACATCAATAGAGGGAAGTGGATACTGTTGAAGAGCATTTCCAAGTGTTCCATTTCCAAGTGAACATTATGAACTATTTCCAGTTTGCGCAACAAGGAGGGATCAGCGAGCTTTATGATATAGAAGAATTTCTGCAAGGTCAGGTTGTCAAATCTGAATGCCACACAGCAGATTTTCAGCGGACAACTGCATTTCTTCAGCAGGGCCTGCACGACCAGCTCATAGTTCCGCTCTGTAACAAACAAGTCAATTAGTACATTGATACTGACTTCAAAGGTACCTGGATTGCACTGTGCTTGTTGCAGGTAAACCAGGAGGTCTGAACAAAGCTTAGAGAGCAGCTGTGTCCTGGCCCACCTGCCCATTGTCTTCTTGCACTTACAAAACTGAACTTCAACATCTTTTATACCCGTCAGGTCGACCACTTTCAACTTTTTCATGTAGGGAGAAGACTGATTCAGCACATAGTCTCTCAGCCCTGTCAGACAGCTTTCCAAGCACACTGAACATGTTCTGTGGCTCAGGTCTTCCTCGTAGTCCAGAGTAGCTCTCAAAAGTTTTCCCATGTTAAAATCAAAAAGTGGCCAGTTCTCTACCAAGTCATGAATCACTTCCCCTTGCTCCAGTAAATAGCTGGCTTTAAAAAGAAGCGGAAAAAGATCATGGGCAACAGCCCCGAGACTCTTCCTGGCAAACTCTGCATTTGATACAAATGCTTCGGCGCTAATGAATCGGAGAGACTTCATTGTTGTCCTGGACTCCTTACTGTCATGGAGAGTGACTTCTATATTTAACTAAAGATCCTGGTTGCTTACGACCTTCTATTTTTATCTGCAAATGCTGTTTGCTGCTAGCGGGAGCCTGGGAAGCCAGAGTGAAGAGTCACATGCTGCTTTCTATTTTAGAGCTACACTGTGAGTCTGCAGTAATCATCTATGCGATCTTTAGTCAGAGAGCCTTTAAGCCCTCATATTTATATCTAAGCTAACTCAAGTAAATATAGACTGCTATCCAGCAGAAACAGTAAGATCAGTGCAGCACACATACATGAGAATATTGCTGTATCTTTTTTATGCCATATAAAAATGCACTCAGAGTTCCACTTAAATAAATAATATTATCTGTATTCCACTTTTTTCCATGAAAGATGCTATGCTGGGGATTCACATGCTGATTTCAATGGGGATCATTTCCCAGAGTTAGCACTGAGCTTGTCTTAAAAACTACAGCCATAAGGAAAGACTGAGGCACTACAGTCATTGAACTACAACAATGCCCCACCGTTTTGCCCTTCCTGTCAGCAAGCAATAGCTGATACAGTTGCTGCAGTGGAAAAGACAAAAGACTCTGGAAGAGCTCAGAACCTTGGTGACCAGGACACTTGTTTGTGGTAGGAGACTGAATGTTGATTGCAAGACAAGCTGAACAAAACAGAGCACTGTTAAAACTCTCTCATAACTTCCCAGGCAGGCATCTTAGTGCTCCTGCTTTGAGCAACAGACGGTCTTTCCTTTCCTGTTATTTAAGAAATGATGGTTCCATTGTGATACTGAATGGGAAAGCATTCAAAATCTATCCAGGCTAGGAGAAAAACCTCTGTCACCCACCTATCACAAGAGCAGAGATGATGTTTCTTTCAATCTGGCTCTTCCTCCCAGGGGAAGCAATGATGGATACCTCCCTCACCTCTCATGTGTTTTGCTAGGCAGCCAGTGTAATGGAGACTTCCTTCAAGCTGCGCTGATCCTGCTTTTCCAGATAATTCCGCTTCTGTTTTGCTGTGAAAAATACACACTACACTTCAAAGTGTCAATTTCTTTTTTCTCTTCAAGTAAACTCCTTATGGAATATTTTATTGAAAGCAAAAGAAAAATCCCAAATATGCTTTAAATTACAGGGAAGGAACATCTTCATTAGATTGTGTCATTCTGAGAAAGCTTTTTAATTTTGCAGACTTTTGGTTTGTATTAATTTTGCCCTCAAATAGATGAGTGGTAAAAAACATGCAAGGTGAAATAGATAGAACTTGACAAGGTATTAAGTATTTTCCTTTGTTTTTCAACTCCATGTGTATCAGATGATAATGATGTAGGTAATACAGTATTTTGTGCAACTTAATAAAAGCTGAAAACGGCCACATATAACTGTTCTCTGTATGACAAGGAAAATGCACAAATTGATTGAAAGTTTTGTCAGTTTAGTTTTATTGCCTTTCAAAATGGAATAAGCTAGTCATTAAGTTTTTATCTATTTACCTAGTACATCTGGACTTCTTTATTTCCCAGCCTAGTACATTTGGACCTCTTTATCTGGTTACCTGGTACATTTGCACCTCTTTATCTGCTTACCTGGTATATTTGGACTAGTAGTCCAAAAGTTCCAAGATAAAGTACTCTACTATTGTCCCAGACTTTTATTAAAATACAGCAATAGGAATGCTGCCTGGTTGTGTAGGGATGGGCCAGGACTTGCGTGGAGCTGAACCTGGCAAGGGAAAGAACAATAAGAAAAGCTTCTATAGGTGTTTCAGCCAAAAAAGACAGGTCAAAGAAAGTTTACTCCTCTGATAAACACAACTGGGAAACTGGTAATAACAAACTAGAAGAAGGCTGAGGTCCAATTGTTTTGCCTCAGTCCCCACTGACAAATCTCTCTTCCCACACCTCTCAAGGCAGGGACTGGAGGAGCAAAGTTCCTCCCACTGTAAAAGACTGGGCTTGTGACCACCTAAGGAACCTCAATGTCCAGAAGTCCATGGAACATGATGAGATGAATGCCAGACTCCTGAGGGAATTGGCTGATACAGTTGACAAACTACTGTCCATGATACTTGAAAATTCATGCCAGTCAGGTGAAGTCGCAGGTGACTGGAAAAGGGGAAACATTGTACCCATCTTTAAAAAGGGTAGAAAAGATGACCATGGGAACCACTGTGCCTGGGAAGATCCTGCAACAGGTCCTCCTAGGAGCTGTGCTAAGGCACATGGGAACAGGGAGCTGATTTGGGACAACCAGCACAGCTTCACCAAGGGCAAGTCCTGCTGGACCAACCTAGTGGACTTCTATGATGGAGTGGACATCAGTGGACATAAGTGGACAAGGGAGGGGCTGTGGCTGTCATTTGTCGGGACTTCTGTAAGGCCTTTGACATAGTCCCTGGCAAAATCCTTCTCTTTTAATTGCAGAGAGATGGATTTGACATGAGGACTGTTTGGTGGATAAGGAACTGGCTGTATCCAGAAAGTATTGGTCAAGAGCTGAATGGAGATCAGTGAGAAGTGGTGTCTCTCAGGGGTACATATTGAGACATGAACTGTCTCAATCAATGACATCGTGGCAACCAGTGCACTCTCAGCAAATCTGCAGATGGCATCAAGCTGAGTGTTACAGCTGACATGTGCAAGGGATGAGATGCCATCCAGAAGGACCTGGAAAAGCTTGGAAGTGGCCTCATGGACTAAATATGAGGTGCTGCACCTGGGTTGGGGCAACTCCCTATATCAACACGGGTGTGAGAGGATTGAGAGCAGCCCTAAAGGGAAGAACTTGGAGTGCTGGTGGTGCACTCACAGCCAACCATTTTCTCAGATTCCATCAAAAGCAGTGAAGCCAGCAGGGCAAAGGAGAAGATTCTCTCTCTCTCCTCTGGAGAGACCTGACCTGGAGTCTAAACTTTCAGTATTTACCTGTCTAGGAGCCCTTACATCCAGGCATTTCTATATGAAAAACTATCCAGCTTCATCAGTCTGTCTAACCTTGTGTTGTGGTTTAAATCCAGATGGCAACTAATTTCCATGTGGCTGCTCACTCGCTCCCCGCTCCCCAGGGGGATGGAAAAGAGAATTGTAAAACTCATGGGTTGAGATAAGAACAGTTTATTAATTTAAATAAAGTAAAATTGAAAAAAATATTTTAAAAGGCAATTAAAACCAAAACAAAACAAAACATAAAACAAAAACCCCACCTCTACACAAGACCTGAACCACATTCACGGCTCCTTGCAATAGGACCGTGCTGGTTTCAACATCCCAAGAGTATTCAAATTTTTCAAAATTCCCAAATGCCACTGTAATTAGCCTAGAAAAGTGGGATAATATAGGTGTGATTGCTAATAGTTCCCACCAGATGGCTCCCGAGGTTCAGAGGTGTTGCAGTGCCAAGCAGGCAGACAGGATTAGGCTTATGACCAGTGGTTCCATTACTTTACAAGCAATTAATACGAAGTACAACAAAAGTATAATCTCAGCCCAGGCACCAAAGGTCATAAACACCACATCAGGGAACACATACTGCAATAAGCTATGACATAACACAACTCTGAGAACGAGGGCAATAGCCCTGAGACCAAATTAGGCTTACATATGCAAGTAAGTAAATAATATTGTTAATCTTTTCCTAAGAGTGTTTATTGTGAAGCTCAGATCCCTGCTTCTTTCTAGGAAAATTTCTGACTTGCCAAGCTATCATGAAAAATTTGAAAAGTCCATGACATTTGTGGACTCAGAATCTGATCTGTGTGGATGAGATTTTACATCAGCTTCATCTACAAAGAGCTAAGGAAGTTATTTTATTATTAAAGGCATAGTTGCACAGGAAAAGTAATGCTAATGATTGAAAAAAAATCATAGGTTTTACAGAGTATAACATGAACATCATAGCAACTATTTTACATGAGAATGAAGTACAATAATGTTTTTCACTACAATAAATATAATTAAACTTATTGCAAAGAAAAAAAAAATAAAACGGAGCAATTAAGTACCACACAGTCATTCACACAAATTGATTGGTTTTAGCTCAGCATTCCTCCTCTCTGTCAGAATTATTATGTTACTCAGGTATTCATCTGGTATTTGTTAAAGATTTGATCTTTTTCTTCCATATTTAATGAACAATCATCTGGCACTGGTTGCACTCCTTTCTTGTAATATTGATGTTAGGGAACAAAGAGAAAAAAATTCCAAACCATATTTTTGTGCATCTAGTTTTAAAAATAGTATTCTGTTGTGCTGAGTATTTTAGTTTGGATTTGGGTGGGTGTAGAAGGAAAGACAACATCACCTTTGCCTTGTCAATCAAAACTTGGAAATCTCCTTGCAGCTTTTTCACTCCCTCCAATGAGAGTCCTCCTTGATCTAAAGAGCAAAGATATTTCTCTTGCTCATTTATAAACTACAGTTTTATCTGCATAAAAATGCAAAAAAAATTGTCTCCCCATTCAGCAAATCAAATATACACTATTCACAGACAAAGGACATAGAAATTAGATAGTTTGTTGAAGTAAGTTAATATACTCAATATATTACCTCATATATTTCTCTCTTAAAAAATTCTATCTCCTTATATTACCAACTGAATTGGGCCAGCTTGACACATTGACCTGATGACAATAATTTGTTTTGCATGCTTAAAAATTGCTCATATTAATATTAACAGCACTGCACACTAATTGTCTCCAAGCAGCACTATATGATAAACAGCTATATTCATAATGTCAGATAAATTCAGCTATTTAAATGGAGAAAAAGATGTTTAAGACTATAGTTTGTTTAATAAATTCCTTAAAAGTAATGATGACCTGGTCACAATCTTTCTCCGATTTTCATGCTTCTCCAAGACTCCCCAGCTGGCAAAGGCATTTATTGGACAACAGCAACAGTCCATGGACTTCCTCATCTACTTGATTATACAATTTGGTTACAAACTCCATGGTATCTCTTTTAAATGGGGAGGAAAGATCAAAAGAATTTATCTGATGTGGACTTTGTCAGAGAGTAAATTGCATCCTTCAGGAGGCATCAATCCCTATTCTTTTAATG